ATATAATTTAATTACTAATGTAATATATTATTTTATTATTATTATATTAATTTTTATTTAATTATTAATTATTAATTATTTAATATATTAATTTAAGATTATTAATTACATGTACTCAAAATAAATATAAATATAATCAAATACGATTTCACTTTTTTATCATATTCAAACTAATATTCTAAAAAAGTACTAAACATAATTTCAAAATTAATTTTAAAATAATTTTTAAAATAATCTCATTTTTATTCTTATACCGAAAATAAAATTATTTTCAAAATATTACCAAAGAGTTGTCATTCTGCCCCTTTTCCATGTTGGTGTATTGTATATACCTTTCTTTAAGCGCAAGCTAAAAAGGAGAGAAACGTTTTCCAGATTCGTATAAATTGAAAACAAAAATCAGCACTTTCGTCAAAACCTCTCAGACTCGCTCTCTCTCTCTCTCTCTCCCTCTCTCTCTCTCTCTCTCTCTTCCCTCTCTTCTCTCTTCTCTCTCACAGTGAGTCCGCCATGGCCGCGCTGCAATACCTAGAATCGCTGCGCAACGCGGACCCGGACCCGAACCACAACGAGTGGTACAATTCGCTGGCAGATCTATACCAGAAGAAACTCTGGCACCAGCTCACCCTCAAGCTCGAGGAGTTCGTCACTAATGTCATCAAGGTCTGTTTCCATGGTGACTTCTGCCTTTTGAGATGCTTAACCGTGCTTAGAAAATGTTGGAGAACTGTTGGTTGGGGTCTTTTGGTTCGGTGGAGATTAGGGTTTTTGAATCTGGAAAAAAATTGTTGCCGTTCTGAGTTTGTAGTTGAAATTTAAGAGCTAAATTAGGGTTTCATTTGGGAGAGAGAATTCTGGAACGGGAAACTAGGGTTTTGAAGTGCAGTTAGGGTTTTAGATATTCGGTTCTGTGACATTAATGTATCGGTTTGTTTCTTTTCTAATCTTTTTTCTTATTTTCTGGAGAATGGGAAAAATTGAAAGTAGATTGGTTCTTAAGGACGCAGAAAAATTGAAGCGAGGAAAATTCGGCTGTCTCCTTATGGGTTTATTGGTCTGAGTGGGCATGCGTATTTGGTCCTTTCTAACGTTATCGTGGGGAAAATTTACCATTTTGTTAGTGTAAACATGTAATGACATGGGTTTCTGCTTCAAAGTTTTGTTTTTTGCATAATTGCAGCTGCTTCCTTACCAATTAAATGTGGGTTAACAAATGTATGAATTGGTTTGCATTTTTTTTTCTTCTCGAAATTAGGTTTCATGAATACATTATTTGACTAGCTAATTGGCACTCGATCAAACTGCCACTTACGACTAGGTGTTGTCGATCTCAATGCAACTACATAGTTTTGGTTGCTGGAGTTTGGGTTTATTTTATTTTGTAAGTTGGGGATGTACCTGTGGTAAAATTTCTCTGGAACTTGAGTGACATTTGGTGCTGTCATAGTTCGGGGTTATCATTGAAAGAAATGAACTCAAGACTGCCTTCATTTTTTCTTTTTCTTTTTATGCTCTGCACTTGAAAAGTGTAAATAACTCTATCAAGTTTATTTAGGTGATTTATTGGAAGATCTGTGTCTTTCATGCTTCTTCATGGGTAGTACTGTTATTTCGACATATGTGATGATATTATAACTAAAACGAAGATAATCTATACAGGAATTTGTCAGTGGGGTTTTTTTTTTTTTTTTCAATTGGGAAAAGGGGGAGCTTTTGAGAACTTATGGGGTTGTCTTTGTTAGTGGTTTTTTCCCTCATATGTTGTGGTTGACCTTCTTATCCTTCTTCCTTTGTTTTTGTTTTTTTGTTTTTTTTTTTTTTTTTTTTTTGTTGGGCGTGGGGATCATGAATTAGATGCTTCTATTGTGACATTGGGGAGCATACTATATCTTTTTTAACTAGCAGTATGAAATATTTGAAACTAATTCGTTAGGGTCTGATTAGAATTTTTTTTTAATATCTCTTTCCTGTGCCTAATATGTTTTCAATTTTGTTCTTACTGTATGCTTCTTGTCTTCTCTCCTAAAAGCATTGAGGTAAAAAAAAAGGGGATAATATAAACTGTGTAGCCATATGGTTTAATATTATCATACTTCAATAAATAAAATGCATCATATGCTACGCATGTATACCACTAACTGGTTTTATTGCATTTCCAAATGTCAACAACCATTTGGTAGTTAGCTTTCTAGAGTTGCTCATTGTTAGTTAAGTACTAGAACTTTTTGGATGGGAGTATGTATCCACTGTTTGCATTTTATTTTTGGTTAGTTTGAAAATTATTTGTTCTCCACTTGCCTTTAGATATAGTTATCTGTCTTTGTGTTCCTTTTAGCCATGCCTCACATTTTCTTTTATTATCGTATTGCAGGCTGGGGATGCTCTGATACAGTTATATCACAATTTCATCACCGACTTTGAGACTAAAATCAACCTTCTCAAGCTTGCACACTTTGCTGTCATTGTTTCTCGGCAATATGCAGAAAAAGAAGCTGCCATTAGTTATCTTGAAGGTGTGATAGAGAAGCTTACAGCCACCAGGGAGCAGCGTATAGAGGAGCCTATCCTTTACATTAAGATGCAAATAGCAGCTTTCAAACTTGAGCAAGGGGAACAAAGAGAGTGCAAAAAGCTTCTAGAAGATGGAAAGAGTACACTTGACAGCATGACTGACATTGATCCATCCGTGTATGCTAGCTATTATTGGGTTTCATCTCAATTCCACAAGTTTCGTCAAGAATTTGCTGAGTTCTACAAAAGTGCTCTTCTCTATTTAGCATACACCTCAGTGGAGTCTCTCTCCGAGTCATTTAGGCTGGTACGTGCTCTATAATGATAGATGTATAAATTAACTTATCGTTTTCCAATAATCCCTATCTTTTCTACATGGACTTTGATTTTACATGTCATATTATTGAACAGCTTGAATTCTGTAGGGGTGATCCAGTAATTGAAGGTTGTAATTTTCTTTAGATGTATGAAGACCATTTAGATGAGCCCGTTTAGTTCGCTGATTTGAGTTTTTAATTCAAGTTGAGATGTGACTTTATGTGAGTGCTTTTTACTGTAGCAAAAAAGTTAGATGTGACTGTTTCTGAGAGCTTTTTACTATAACAAAACTCGAATTTTAAACTTGAATCGGTGAAATGAACGGGGTTAATTATTTAATTGTTTTAATGCTTGTGCTTTCTTTAACTTAAATATTGTTTTAAATTGACTGTGTGAGAAGGAAATTAGTGAACCTAGGTCTTAGTTACTAGGATTTCATTTTAACATTATACAAGTGTATTAAATTCTCAAATCCTGGGATAATGGTACTATGAACTTGCTTCAGCTAAGCGTATTTGACCAGTTAATGTGTGTTTGAGCTTCAACCGTGGAACATGTCGTTATTTGATTAAATAGGAAATGAGAACCTATCATGCTTTGATTATGAAGCAAAGAAATCAAAGGCATTTTATTATTATTTTCAGCAAAAGGGACTTTTTGTATTTTGTTGCATATTTTGAGTTTATTCAAAGAGTTATATAGAGTACCAAGTGCAAGAATTAGAATATGATCCTTGATTCTACTTTCTGTGCTATCTTGGAGAAATACTCTTGTTTACATCATGGGCGTTTGACAAAAGAAGTCAATTGACTTTCGAGAACTTTGTAAGATATGAGTGGTGGAATCAATTAATAACTTTGTTGCTGTTTCTGAATGTGACTCGTCTTTCTGTGATTCCTTCATGTAGTTTCCATCTTTTAATTCTTTCCACAACGTTTCAGGATTTGGCGTTTGATCTATCTCTCTCTGCACTTCTTGGAGATAATATCTACAACTTTGGGGAGCTGCTCGCACACCCTATTGTAAGACTATTTTTGCCAAAGACTCTGGTTCTTTTTTTTTTGTTTTGTTTTTTTGTTTTTGTTTTTTTTTGGTCCCTCATTAATTACTTGCATTACTTACCATATTCTTCTTTTGACAATGAACTTGCACTAATTGGAAATCTCATGTTGAGTGTGTTTACAATCTTTCCATCTCTGTAATGTGAAGTTCTTTACTTACTAGGATATATCATTCTTTGGTGTAGTAGCAACTACTAGTACATGTTGAAATTTTGATTAGTAGTCATCATGACTCGCGGGGCTGTAACTTAGACTGTGGTGTTTGTCTACAGCTTAACTACTGGTATTGCTGCAGTTCATGATGCAAAAGACACAGAAAGGATACATAAGATTGTAATTTAAGCAACCTGTGGAAATGAACTAGGAAGGTGATCAAAGGAAGACTTTGATGAGTCTAGGATATAAAATTTCAGTTTTGCTGCATAACATTGTGATGAGACTCAGATCTAGCATTAATAGAGAGCTCTGAGTTGCCTTTAAAGCTTGAGGTTTAACAAGACATGTTATAGTAACCATGTTATAAGGCCAGGCTTAACTAGAGCTTAAATAATACATTCACGGTGTATCCAAATGCTGAGCAATCATATTGCAAAGAATAAATTGGATTAGTTTGATTAAGTGCAATATATTTGCACCAGAGAATATGATATGGGATGCAAACATATTTTTGGAAAAGTCTATATTTTTTAATATAATTTTGGATGAATTTGTTTATTTGACCCATCCTGGAGATGGAGGCATTACTGTGATTTTAATATGATTGATTAGTTGTCATGTTATCTGAGTCTATACTGTTACATATATATATATATATATATATATATAATATTTTCTTACGATGTAACTTTGACACTCTTGACCTATATCCATGTAGAAAATGAAAGAGTTACTTCTGCTATGTCCAGGACATCTATGTATGACTTGAATCGGCAAAATAAAGTGTATTTAGCTAATTGTGAATGCATGCATGCTTGTTTTGATAATGCGTCTGCTTGATCAAAATTTCTGTGTGCTCTGCAAGTAGGTTCCTGCTTCTCGTGTTTACCATGGGTTCAAATATCATTTGGCTTTTTTTTTTCTTATTAATTTTTTCCCTGATCTGTATGTGTGTGCACTTTCATTTCCATTAGTGCTCATAGATCTCCTGCGTACTTTTTACTTTAATGCATCCCCACTATCAAAGTTAGGGGCATGCATATTAGCTACATTGCCTTTTGATGTACTAATACCAAGTTATATTCTACTCCTTTCCTTTCTTTTGTTTCGGTATATAAACATCTTCTGACAACTTATCCAGATCAATAGCCTTAAGAAGACAAAGGTTGAGTGGCTCTACTATATTCTTGAAGCGTTCAACTCCGGCGATCTAGTTCGCTATCAGGAATTATGTCGTGTGCACAATGCTGCTTTGAGTGCTCAACCAGCATTAGTTGAAAATGAGAAGAAGCTACTGGAAAAGATCAACATTCTCTGCTTGATGGAAATTATCTTTAGGTTGGTTTTTTGCTGGGGTGTCAGGCCACTGTTAAATTGTGCAAAGAGATAGTCATGTGTATATTTTTAAGTTAACAAGGTTGACGACGTGTTTTTCTGCAGCCGGCCATCTGAAGACAGGACTATACCTTTGAGTATTATTGCTGAGCGAACTAAGCTTTCCATTGAGGACGTGGAGCAGCTCCTTATGAAGAGCCTTTCCGTAAGTTCATCTAATTGAAACCTTTATGAGAAATATAACTGGTCAAAATACTATTAGAAGCCTTCTTGTTTGAATGGCAGTGCGTGCTGAGAACATCATTTTCTTTTTCTGTTGACATGTCCTAGAAGTTATAATGACATGGAACGTTTGCATCTTGTTCTTTATTTATTATGCTTCCACTTGAGCAGCTGCATTTTACATGGTAGGTTCAGATTTTTTATAGCCATCTTTTCTAAATAAAACAATGCAAAAAGAGAGTTATTAAGTAATTAAAAAAATCTGCACTACTGCTATATTTATTTGTTCTAAAGAACTTTATATAATAAACTATTGTAGGTGTACGCTTAACATAGATATGTTATTTGTATGATAAGGAATGTTTCCGGTCGCCTGTCATTGATCTTCTTCAATTTTATTATATGTTATTTCCTGTTGTAACCTTATTTTGTTTCAAGCTAGTCTTCATTATGGATTTGGAGAAAGTGTTAGGCAATAAGGAGATCTTTCTTATTTAACTAGGAAAGTAATGCTGTTTATTAGTTTGTTTGGTATCAAAAGTTCTCAACTCATAGTATCATCTATCTTTTTGAAGCTGCTGATTTTTCGGTCATGGTATTTTTGCATTGTTGTCTCAATAAAGTTTTATATTTACTATCTTGAACTAGTTGCTCGTTAATAAATTTTATTATTGTTGATTCATCTTATAAAAAACAAAAAAATTATTGTTGTTTTGTTTCTCTGCTTTGGGCTAGCTACTTATCAGTTTTCTGAGGATTGTGATATCTTTATGTGTTTGGCTGATTTATTCTTTGAAGTTTCTCTACTCGTAACAATGGGAAAATTTGTACGTCAGGTTCATCTGATCGAAGGCATAATCGATCAAGTTGAGGGAACCGTGCATGTTTCCTGGGTCCAGCCCAGAGTTTTGGGGATCCCGCAGATCAAATCTTTGCGCGATCGACTGGACACTTGGTTGGACAAAGTGCATACTGCCTTGTTATCCATTGAGGCGGAGACACCTGATCTGGTTGCGTCGTGAGTTGTTTCTTGAATGGTTTTCTGCCCACTGTAACATTTTCTTATCCGACAAGGGGTAGAAAGTACAAGGGTGGCCGGGAAAAAACTTTGCCTAGTTTGCTTTGGCACTTGGGCCTTCTTTGTATGCTGCGCTTTTTCCGTACGTTGACTCCTGCTTTTCTTGAATCATCATTTTTGTGAAACGAGCTACCTCTTCGTATACTTCCTGTCGGAGTAGTTAATTTTTTTAGTGGCATGCCTAGAGACATGGTGAATCAATTTAATAGACGGCTGTTTTACCCTTTTTAGCGTGTTTATCGGACTAATGTGTTTCGAAATTTTCTTAGTTACAGTGATGTGGTTCACTTAAATCTTGATCCAGATCAACTGCATTTGCTTTAGTCAGCTAGTTTCTCTTTGCTTCGTCATGAAATCTAAGCATTTGTTGTCATGAATAGTGAACGACACCTAATGTACGATTTATGCAATCGGGAACATTTGCTAGTATCTCGGCTAGGGAAATCAGATTTCTTTGTCCAATTTTTGGTGTTTCAACATCCAATAGATATATTTACTCCCATAGGTTTAGAATTGAAAGGATACATTTTTTTTTTGGCAGAATGAAAAGAAAATGTTAAACGTTTGAACAAGTTATGAGCGACAAATTCAGAATTTATCAGGTAAATTCGAAATTTATCGGATCATGACACCCGAAATGCTATATAGTCAATCTTTACTATTTTTTTTTTGTTTTACATCGAATTTCTTTTTGCTCTGATATTTTACATAGTATTTTACCAATTATTTTAGTTAATAAACTCATATTTTGCCCTTGTAAATTTTCTTTTAGATATAAAAATTTTCTTTATCCACAATTATAGCAAATATTAGTGGATTATCTGTGCGGTTGTACGGATAAAGAATTTAGTTCAGGTATTTATCTTTAATTACTAATATAACGCATCATAAATAATTGAAATAAAGATAAAATATATAAAGTTTATTTTTGACATTCAAAATCTCATTTTTGTGTGGAACGAAATATAATATTACACTATTGAATGAACTATCATACATGAATCTTTTTTTTTTCTATTTAAGAATACAATCTTGAGAAAATGTGCCAAATCTAGGACAATAAATCGAAATACAACAAAATTTCATATGATTTAATGAATACATAATTTAAGGTAATTTCATATAAAATTTCATATGTTTGGTACAAGAATTATAATTTTTAGATTTTCAGGAAAGTGATTACCATGAGATTCACTTTTTCTCATTTTAAGGTAATTTGAATACCACCTAACATGGTGTTATTCAAATTCCCAAAAATCTCAAAATCATGAGAATCTTATTATTATTATTATTATTATCGTTGTTGTTGTTGTTATTATTATTGTTATTATTATTATTGTTATTATTATTATTGTTATTATGATTATTGTTATTATTATTGTTATTATTGTTATTATTCTTGTTATTGTTATTATTATTTTATTATTATTATTGTTATTATTATTATTATTATTGTTATTATTATTATTATTGTTATTATTATTATTATGGATCTTCTTCCATATTAATATTATTATTATTTTTTTTTTTATTATTATTATGGATAAATCTTCTTCCATGCGAACAACCAAACACAGTAATGTAATATTTTTAGGAATTTAAAAAAAATTTATGTACGGAACCAAACACAATAATGTATTATTCTTAAGAATCATATTACCCTCTATCACTTTTCTGGAAATATGATTCTTACTTATTCCCGCGTACCAAACGCCCCCTAACATTCATGTAAAGTAGTTACATCCGAATAGTAAGAATATAAGCAATAATAACACAACAATCACAGTGTAAACAAACGAAAAATGAAGTTGAAAAACGAACAAATTAAGATAAAAAAATCTTAATAGTATAATAAATAAATGCTTTAAAACAATATAGAAACATAAGTAAAAACTAATAAACATATACCTTAGTTGAAGAAGAACAACGAACATGATAGACAGAGCAGAACAACAAAGTGTCCAAAATAGAAAGTGTAAGAGGAAGAAGAAAAGTCCAGAAATTTCAGTTAGGCCAAAAAGACGAAGAACAAAAACATCAATAAAGGAAGAAGACCCATAGAAAACAAATCAAAAAAACCGAAAAAACCAAAAAAAAAAACTTCGAGACCCAATAGATCCGGAATTTTCCAGACTGGTAAGAATCCCCCACCGAGAAAAGAGACAGAGACGAAGCACAAAAGCTTCAGGAAAAAAAAAGGAACAAAATGTGAGAGAAGAAAGCCAAGCCAAATAATCATAGAAAGTGTAAGAGTGAAAAGAAAAGCCTAGAAGCTTCAGTTAGGCCGAAAAGAGGAAAACACCCAAATCAAAAGAAAACAACAGAACGTATAAGACTGTTCCCAAGGAGAAGATGAAAATGCCCAAACAGAAACTAAAGGAGGAATAAGCAACCAAGGACAAAACAGTAAAAATAAAAAATAAGACAGACAGAATTTCTTCAAAACAGAGGGACATAAAGGACTAGATACTGTTTAAAAAACAGTAAACCGGTGCCTTCTTTAGTAGTATTATAATGTTGTTTACTATAAAAAGATTCAAAATTAGGATTTTAGCTAAAATTTTCCTTTAAAATTTGATTGAAAATTAAATGTCAAAAGTTAAAAAAATAGAATTCTAATTTTAAGATGAATTTCCTGAAAAATATTGAGACAGAATGTTATGAATAAAATTACAAAACAACTGCGTTTTATTTTGAGAGGAGCCGGCCTTAGATCTCTAAATCCGAATGGGAGGACAAATTACAAATCAAATGCGTTTTATTTTGAGAGGGCCGGCCTTAGATCTCTCTCTTTTCCCGTCTCTTTTCAAACTATAGCAATTTGTTCCCCTAGACAGGGAATCCTCTCTAAAAAATCTCTCTAGTAGTATTAATTTTATCTTCTTTTTTATTTTTTAAAGCAATAGCATAACTTTATTAAAAAGCTACTAAAAGAAGATACACGATAAAATCAGAGTCAAGAACTAGATGCAACACACATGGCTAGACAATACAAACGCACTCATTACGTAAAAACAGAGAACTCCTCCAAATAGTGACACTATAACAGGGTTTAGTCACTTCGAAACGACTCCAGATGAACCACATCTCAGTTCCAAGATGGACTACATAACTCGGATTTAGAGCAGTGGAGAAACCTTGCAGCCAAGACTTAACACCGGTAGATGGGGACACCATCACCGTTATTACTACACAAATAAAAACATAAAAGATAAAAACAGACTAAACTCTACGAAGATTCTAAGAAATAAACCAGTAAAATCAAGCCCCTCAACGTCAGATGTGTGTGAAACACGGTAAGAGTGGCACTAGAGAAAAGCTCCTGAAACAATGACAAAAGCACCGGAGACACGACAGCGTGTGGGAACGAGCGGCGACTGTCACACGCTTCGGACCACCTTCCTCGCCCCCTTCCACAATCTAGTTCCCAGATTTTCATCGGAATCCCGTGACAAATGTGTCCTAGATCTAATGTAGAAGATCAAAAATTGCTTCCCCATGAACAACTCTATTTCGATGACTGTCCACAGTTCCGTCGGTACGAACCCGATGCTGATGACCTTTGTGATCTCTCTGACGAACTTGGGAGTTGACAGCCTGACGAATAGCCAGACCACCGACTCTAGAGTACTCCTCTAAGCTTGTTGTAGAGCATCCCTCTCTAACTTTCTCTCTCTAGAAATCTGACGGCTAAAGTTTTTAGTACTAATTTTATCTTTTAATTTCATATATTTTGCTTTTCGTATCAAGTAAATATTTATTAATTTAGATCTCATTTTAGACCATCTCCAATGTAAATGTTAATGTCAATTGTATATTTACTATAAAAAAGTGTGATGTGGTATATTATTTTCATTTTTACTCCAATGCATAATGCTATTTGAAATGCTAAATCTACTTTTTTCCATAACTATTAAGACCATCTCCAATGCAAATGCTAATGCCAATTGTATATTTACCTTCAAAAAGTGTGATATGGTGTGTTATTTTTATTTTTACTTTAATGCATAATGCTATTTGAAAATGTTAAATTTACTTTTTTTCATAATTATTAAGCTTTGAAAGTTATAAAAGTAAACTCTTATGTTTAAAATAATTAAAAAATGTCAAAGTTACATTGATTACATAAAAAGATAAACATTTTAACTAATAGCAATCAAATGCCAAATTTTTCATATGTTATACTTGGTGGGAAATCTCTCACAAAATACAGTATATGAGAAATTTGTTACAACAAATAGCATTACATTAGATAATATGTTTTACACTCAAATGTTAAATTTACAATTTACACGTTAATTATAACATTGTATTAGTGTGATGAGTTTAGTCCACTGTCTACACACATCTTTATCTAGTCGTGGTTTTCTATTTAGATTTCTTGTTTATATGTGCTTTTGTGCAGTCTCTTCTCAATCAAAGGTCATTTTGAATGAGCCGAAATATTTTTTTACTGAACTCGATTTTGTTTCTCCAGTAGCGTTAGATGCACACTAATCGGAGAGAGAGCATATCGAAAAAAGTCATCTCCATTCTTTGGTAGAATCATGGTATAAATGATTTATTTATTATGATTAATTGTTTGTTATTAAAATTGTAAATTTGGACCGGATTCAAACGGACCGATTTGAGGCATATTACTATTGGTCTGATTCTAGTCAATCTAGCGCTAATATCTAAATAGGACCGGGTTAAGATTTTGAGTCTAAAAATTTATTCATGTCGGCTCAAACATTCTCTTTTTAAAACCTTATAAAATTTTATGATGGGCCGGCGGCTTGAACTTTCACTTTTATTTGTTACAATGATCTTGGTACCTCTCTAAGATTTACAATTATAAAATTTATTTCAGTTAAATGAAAGACCATCTTTATTAAAGAAAAAAAAAACAAAGAGAATTGAGTAGAGGAATAGAAGCAATTTTGGATAGTGGGACTCAGGTTAATACACTTCATGAGTACATTTTTCTTTTTGTTAAGTGATAAAAGGAATATGCACAATTAGAACAATAGCGATGACATTGGGTGCGTTTGGAATTCGTTTTAATGATTTTATTTTCTATATGAAAATGAAAATGAAAATGTTTTCATTTCCATTTTAGAATCATTTCTAAAAATGTGTTTGGTAGTTTTATTTTGAGATTGTTTTCAGTTAAAAAAAAAACTAAAACTGCGTTTGGTGGTTTAATTTTTAAAAGCATGTAATAGTATTTTAAATAATAATATCCGGGAGAACAAAAACCAATGCCACCTGAAGAAAAGTCACCACCCTCCGATTCGCCTCGGCCGACCACCTCCTAAAATTATTCCTCTGTGTCCAAATCCTCGCATAGAACACCCCAAAAACCACAATCCACCCTGCGGCAACAACCCTCTTCAGCACCACAATCCACCCGTGTTCTCATCAATGT